AAGAGGACTCTTCTGCCTAGCTAGAAGGATCTCTTTTAGCTAGGCAGTAGTAGGCAAGCACCATGTTTTCTGGTTTAGGTGGAGTTTTGTCAGTTCTGTGGAAGTGCAGGCTGTAGACCTGACTTTTTCTGATGTAAAATCTAGAAGGCTCTGTGCATGGCTACGTTCAAGGTCACAGGGTGAACATTAGATAAGAAACGTCACTACTTGGAAAATGGATTCAATAAGCAATATAGAGTAAAGGCTGAAACATTCAAAAATGGTCCCTTACCTGCATGATTTCCACAATAGCCACTAAATCGGCTATAGAGATCTCATCACCAGCTACAAAGGGTTTGCCTCTTAGGAACTGCTCTTCTAAAGCAGTCAAAGTGTTATTAAATTCAGTCACTACAGGCTCCAGCTTCTCAGGTTCAGCTTCATAGCCCAGGATTAAGGGTGTCATTACCTGTAACAAAAATGAATTTTTTATAAGTAAATTACACGTATTAAAATTAGCGTTCCGAAGGCCCGTGCACACCATCTCAGTGCGTTAATTGCACGGTCCACTATCGCACTGCAACGCACAGTATTTGAGGTACCGTGCTTGTGGTACGGTCAATAGCACTGTGGGCAGGAGGCATGTTTGGGGTGCCATTCCAATGAATGGCACACAGCGCACCTCCCGCACTATAATCGCACAGGAGGAGTGGTACCGTGCGTCAAATCGCACAGAACCACGCGACTAATGCACAGAGATATTGTGAACAGGCCCTCCAGATTCCAGTAAACCCCACATATAACGTGTTTGTGTGAAGATGTGTGGCTATTATGTGTTAAACGTCCTAAATTACATTATAAAACAGGTAACCTACCGTCTAATGAAAAATATTTACCCCCTCCCTGTAGTACCCCAATAACCTATAATTATTACCTGTGGACTTTTCCTGTAGTTCCATTATTTTTCCACCATCTAGAACAGTCGATGCTATGCACCAAAAGTTAGTTATATTTGTGACCATAGACCATTAAGAAAAACATGTAACTTTAACTGCTTAAGGAAGAACTCCGGGGAGAAATCTTCTTAACCCTTGCAGTAGGTCAAAGTTCTCATTTTCGTCTAGGCACTGACCTTAACCTTGGAGTCGGCTGGCTGCTAGACCCAGCCCTGCAGTCACTGTCACCCACTGCTCCTGTGGTCTAAGGTCCTTGCGGGTCATTGCATCCAATATGTATTGGACGTGAGGATGCAGAGGGACAATCCATCGCTGGAATGTAGGTGTGAGGTTGCAGGGACCAGCCAGCAGCCAGCCAACTGTGAGGTTCAGATGAGTATATCTTTGTTATTTTCTTCCCTAGAAGAACATGAGCACTTAACTTTTGCAGTGCAAGGGTAGTCCCACTGCAATGGTTAATAATATTTTTGCCCAGACGTCTATTAAAACATTGAAGTTGGGCTTTATTTGTGTCTTTTAATTAAACTCCATTTAAACCTACATGTCCATCTAAGACTACCCTGTCCAGGGTGACAATGCTGCTGCACAATTTCATTGCAGATCAAAGATCTTTGTCAACCTATTACAGGAAGTGGAAATGTCATGGATCTACTGGAAGGATAAGGAAACTATGTTAAGAGGGGGACACCGGAGGGACAACGGGGAGATTTGTAACAAAGACCACTGCACATAAGCAGCGGTGGTCATTGATGGGTAAAGTTGGCACCAAAGCAGCTCCATTAACCAACCAAGCATGCAGCAGCTATCCCCTCCATATTTGTTATACTGCCAGCTCATGCCACCATTCCTATTCACCAATATTCTCTAACCTGGGATGATTTTAGAAATTGGAACATATAAATGTGAACATTTACAGGGTTATTCACAAAAGGGTGAAAAGTTTGGAGAAGGCCGGAGAAGTGAACAATCTAGGACAACATAGCTGATTTGGTAAAGTGAGCTGAATGGGAGAATGTTTCCAAACCAGCTATGTTGTCCTCGATTGTTCACTTCTCCGGCCTTCTCCAAACCCTTCACCCTTCTGTGAATAGCCTTGTTAGTATTTGAAAAATAAACATACACACGAAAAAAAAAAAAGACAGTCAATCCCACCTTAATCCAGAACAGTTTGGAGCCATGTGGACGGGTATTGGTATGCTGCCAAGCAAGGTATTCATCGACACGGGCACGTTTCTGTAGATCAGCTGGGTACCAGTGATCTGGGGTCTTGTACTTGTTGGCCAGATATAGGAGAATTGCGGTACTGGTGAATGACAAGGATGGGAAGGTTGATATTGGTATTAGAAAGAAACTACCTACAAGTCCGTGACTAGGACAAAAGGCATACCACGTTCAGAGCTCCAATATCAGCTGTGTGAAAGGAAGTGTCACCTCTGGGGAGATGACAATACGCTATAAGCAGCCTGGCTTCTCCTGGAACTATGTGATGATGGGCTACGATTAGCTGGTCAAATGCATGTGGTGGCTGTATTAGGTTTTGTGTTTTATTCTCCAGTATCAAGTATTGTCTGCTAAAGAAAAAACCTGTACCAAGATCATGGCTACAGCATGATCTTGGTATGACCACTTCAAGACCAGGGCGTACAGGTACATCATATGCTCCTCAAGGGATTAAAGCGGGCTGAATGCTTTGCAAATTGTTGTTGTATACATTGCCCCTCACGCTACTAATTACAAGCTGCAGAATACAAGCCAAGTTTTTTTTCCTGCCCAATGTTAGATAACATGGGGAAGACTTTGAATTGCCAGATTTCAGTGCTGTCCGTGTTTCCGTTTCAAACATTTTCCCCTAATGTTCTGTGACAGATAAACAGGAAGAGATAAGTATCCTCCCCAAATGAGAAGATCTTTCACAGCTGTCACTGGAATACATGCCCCCATGAGAAGATTTCCTCTCTGTCCATGTTCTGGTGACAACTAAATCATTTTTGACTTTTTTCCTAAGTTTCTGTGTCACCATTGGGAAGGAGGAGAATTCTTAGCTGGATTGTAGAGAGCAACAAAATATGACAGAGATTCTAACCATCTAAAAATATTTTAGTGCAGGGGTGGGCAACTCTGGCCCTCCAGCTGTTGTGGAACCACAAGTCCCATGAGGCATTCCAAAACTCAGAGCAACATGCTGAGGCATGATGGGATTTGTAGCTAAAGCACAGCTGGAGGGCTGGAGTTGCCCACCCCTGTTCTAGTGATGGTTCCACGTTAATGAGAATTTTGACCACTTAAAAACTGCAACAAAATGGTCTTTTTTTTTTTACCTCTCAGCCATTGTGAAGTCTCCATCTTTTAGAGATGGCACCTTTCGAAATGGATTCACTTTGCCAAATTCTTCACTTAAATGTTCTCCTGAGGGGAAAAAAAATGTAATAATATGAGGACAAATCATTCACCGTAAAAAACAGTCACAAACCTGGACAATTCAAATCAAAGTGTAACATGTCACTTCTGTTCCCTTTACTAAATAAGTACAACAAAAAAACAGAGGCGCCATCAAATGAAGAAGAGTCCAAAGGAGTTTTTACTGGTTACAATGAAAGCATCCAAGTGCCGACTCATTTTGGGGGCAAACAGACCCCCTTCATCAGGGCTTCAGGTGTAATTCAAAAGGGGACTTGGGGAACGGACTCAAGGAAAGTTACAATGATAGGGACCACTAATACGAGGGCACATGCAGCAGTCAGCAATGGAGAGGCTCACAATGCAGAATGCAGCAGAAGGGATGCTCCCAATGCAGAAGAGGGGATGCTCCCAATGCAGAAGAGGGGATGCTCCCAATGCGGAAGAGGGGAGGCTCCCAATGCGGAAGAGGGAGTGCGCACAAGCACA